CTGTTCGTATGATTAAAAGCAACACGACCATCGACCCGACGCAGTCCCCGGCCCGTTGTTGTTGTGGGAGAAAATCAGCAACGTAAACTGTGACGTCATGACGCAGCAGCGGCAGCTCTGGGCAGTGTGAACAGAGCGGGAGCTGAAAAGGGAAACCGGAGCTGAACCAGAAAAGCTCTCGCTAGGAGCTAGAAAGGGAAAAGCGCTGGTGTGAAAGCCGCACCAGAGACCCAGGGTACAGCACCTCGCTGTCTTACCCAGAAAACAGGGCTCTGATCAGGGCTAAAGTAATGTTATAAACTGGTGAATCTGTTTAAATGCAGGAGACCTCCAGCATGAGTCCCTAACAGTGGCACTCCTCCATAACCTTGCACACCGTGAGTCCCCGAGCCCCCGCAGTTAAGCACTCCCCCACAGACTAAACCCAGATATTCACACCCTCCAGAATCTCGTGCCCCTGGTAAGACTAACAAGGGGTGGATTTTGTGGTGGTCTACCGTCCGCCCTTAAGCATCCAACTGCGGACTCCTGACACTCAGACACTTTTCATATTTTTAGGTTACCAGGGGCACGCTTGTCTGGCAGTTATGCACATGGGGTTTTGTCCAAGGCAGTGTGCTTAAGTCAGGGGGCCCGGGGACTCAAGGTGCGCATGGCAGGCCGCCTATGAGCGGCCAAAATGTTTTAATTAACTCATTATTGTTGTTTTTAGACAGTGTACATTGGACGACATAAACATACGAAGTTATGGACATAAACGTGTCAGTATAGACAGAACAATGTACATATTAATCATATTTAATTTATTAAATGTACAATAAACTAAAAACAGCAGAATCACTGCTTAAAGCAGCATATCACAATCAAAGGCAGACATACACACACCCAGGGGGGAAAGAGAACACATTGACCCAGGACAGAGTGCTCAAAACACAGGTAAAAGTGTGTTGAAAAGTCGGGGAACATGTTTCAAATGACAGCAGACTGCTGCTTGTTGGCAGGTTGTCTCAGTTCACTTGTCTCACACACACCCAGGGGGGGAAAGAGAACACATTGACCCATGAAAGAGTGTCTGAATCATGGGCACATTAGTGTTTAAAGTCGGGGGAACTGTTTTAATTCAGGACCAGGGTGAAAAGATAACACATTTACCCCGCTAAAGTGTTTAAAACATGGGTATATTAGTGCTCAAACTCGATTAAACTGTTTTAATTGCGTAGGTTTTACATTTTGGTTCACTCGTCTCACACACCCAGAGTGTTAACAACATTTTTTACAAATGTTATAAATTAGTCTAGAGCTCCATCTATTGTAATTTGAGTGTATTACACGTCTGTCCATGGAACGCGAGTTTTGTGCAATTTGAGTGGAGTAAACTGATATGCAGCTGGAGTAACATGTACATTGAGACGCATTGGGACATATCATCGTCACTTTCAATGTTAACCTTGTACATAGGAGGCACAATATGCTTACTCGTTATCCTGACTTTATTTTTCTCTCTTTTTTTTTTTTTTTTTTTTCCATGTCCATTTAGGGGCTCCGTATGTTTCATTATTGTTTTATTTTATTATTTAAATGCTCCCATTAGGCCCCTTAATTAGCCAATTCAAGGGTGTCTTGTATCACTGTTACGCAGATGATATCCAGATATATTTCTCTTTGAAACCCGTCAAAACGGAGAATTTAAACACCCTGATTCCATGTCTGTCTGCAATTGAGGAGTGGATGTCAAGCAACTTCCTACAGCTCAATGCATCAAAAACAGAAGTCTTGATCTCAGCGGCTGATAACATCGCCTCTAAGGTAGCAAGCCACCTGGGTTCATTTAGTGGTAACGTTAGGGCAAACGTAAAAAACCTTGGTGTAACCTTCGATCAGTCTATGCTACTAGACAAACACATCGAACTCCTGACCCGTACCTGTTTGTTCCACCTCAGGAACATTGCCAAGCTCAGGGGCTTTCTATCCAATGCAGAACTGGAGATGGCTATCCATGCCTTTATTTCATCCCGGCTTGATTACTGTAATGCTCTGTTCTCCTGCCTCAACAAAACATCAATAAACCGGCTACAACAGGTCCAAAATGCTGCAGCCAGGTTACTCACTCGGTCCAAAAAAAACCTGCCACATCACTCCGATCCTTTCTGCCCTGCACTGGCTCCCTGTCCATCTCAGAACCCAATGTAAGGTATTGGTTTACACATATAGAGCTGTCCATGGCCAAGCCCCCGCCTACATTAACGACCTTATCCACCCTCACAGGACAACCCGGGCCCTGTGGTCCTCCGAGCAAGGCCTCTTAAGGGTCCCCGAACCAGGCTAAAAACTAAGGGGGACCGTGCCTTTGAGGCGGTGGCCTCTATGGAATGAACTCCCCCAGAAACTGAGAGCCTCTGTCTCTGTGGAGGTTTTTAAGGGGCAGCTAAAGACTCATCTTTTCCGACAGGCTTTTGGGGCGTCGGAGGAGGAGGTGAGTTTGTAGCTGTTTCTCATTGGTGTTTTATCCTATCTTTTACTGGATGTGTTTTATGCCTTTTATTACAAATTAAAACATTGTTCCTAATGTTTAAAATCTTTCAAACCAGTCCCATGTTTATATATTATTGTTATAAGTATTATTAATATTATTAATAATGTAATTATTATTTTAATACCGTTAGTTTTTTCACCACAGGGGGCAGTGAAATTATGTTTAAATGAAAAACTACAATCCCATGATGCATTGCGGCGGTCCGTTTCTAGCTTCCGGTCCTCAGAAGCTACACGTTGCTAACAGACGTTGGTGCAGATTTTATACCGAATGTAATGTGTTTAAGAGACTTTTAAAACACATACAAAGAGTTAGTTTATCCTTGGAGGGTGATTTATCCGTGCTTTTATTCGTTAAACCGTGTTTTTGTTGCCTCCCGTTCTTTGTTCGTAGCTTTTTAAACCACGTTGCTGATCGGTAAACATAAGTAAAAGGCATTAACCCCGGTAATAGTGGATAGGAAAAGACGATAGGAGCTGATTTTTGGACAATTCCACTGCAACCCTGAACCGACTGCTAACTCAACAGGAACTATCGAAAACATCACAATAGAAGTTTAAAGTCACAACATTTTATTAACCAAACAGATTATTGGAGAAACTACTCGGCAGATTAATGAACAGTGAAACTAAATTCCTTCAATGCAGCTTAACGAGGCTAGCAGTTGAGATATAATATTTAAAAAAAGGAATAGCAAGGCTATTAGAAATCCATGGTTGAAACACAGCATAGTAAAACATTTCTTCATAGTTCAGAAACCATTACAAACATCAACTAAATTGGAGAAACAGCATCTCTGTGGCCTTGTGTTGGCATAGTGTGAACGCTGGTTAGAACATAAAAAACTGTTATATAACAAACAAATATAACATTGTAACAGGTTAAGATACACAAGAAGGTAAAAGGTATGACAATAACAAATGAAATACAGTAAAAAAAAAAATATGATTTATCTCGGAAAGATAAGACACAAGACAGGTGAATAGATTCAACAATATAAAACCCTATAAAGCAGCGGTTTTCAAAGTGTGAGGCGCGCCTCCCCTGGGGGGCGCCAGAGAGCTTCAGGGGAGGCGCAGCGTGAGAAAAAAATAAAGAGAAACAATGAAATCTAGCTCGTTAACTTCAGCTAACTTTATGCGAGCGGCAACATGGATCGATTTTTAGTGAAGTTACCTAAAGTGAGAGAGGAGACAGCGTCTGGCCACCCCAGTTGGCAGCTTTGTTTTGAAATAAAAGTTGTGGCTCATCGGACATTTATCAGAGAAAATCCCTGATGTCCGAGTGCAAGTGAATGCAGCACAAGACGCGAGCCTTGTAACCCTGGCGCGAGCGAGGAAATGTGATTGGCGGCGATTTCATTTGAACGGGCGGAAGAAAACGAGAAGCATTCGGACCCAAGTACACGGAAGGAATAAGGTATTTGCGGTCTACAATGACAGAGAAGAGACTGTCAAGTTTGGCTGTGCTCAGCATTGAATCAAAACGCACTAAAGCTTTGGATGTTAATACGTTTGTGAGGCGTTTTGCTGAACAAGATGGTAATCGCCGCATTCAGCTGTAATAGGCATGCCAACTTGATGCTCTGCTCACGGATGACTCGAGCATTAAAAACTGTTAAGATGATGACCTTACGTGTGTACATATATTTTTTTCTTTGTGGGGGTCTGCCCTGAGAAAGTCAAATAAGATGGTGTGTAAAACTACACTGTCCAGACAAAAATAAGTAACCACTTTGATTTAACTAGGCCAGTAGGTAAGGGCATTCCACTGGATAATAATACCCCTGCATTATAGCAACAACAATAATAATAATAATAATAGCAATAATAATTGGGAGGGGGGGGCGCGGCTGTTCTTATATTCTCTGAGGGGAGGCTCACCTTCCCACACTTTGAAAACCCCTGCTATAAAGTAAAGTGAATATATAGGTAAAAATTTTGTATTAATAGTAATAAAAACATCATAATTCTAATAAAGGTTAAACGATTAAAATATAAAGAAACCAACGTAAAAATAAATGTTGCTATTGAAACTGTTAAATAACTAATAAGATAAAACCCTTCCTATATCATAAATGAAACAATGTAAAAGTAGGTAAATAATAAAGACTAAAACACCATTTAAAGTGGGGGGTTGCTAATAAAAAGCTAATCTAAAGAGATGTGTCTTTAGCTGGCATTTAAAAATGTCCATTGAGCCTCTCTGATATTTCCTGGTGTTCCACAGTTTGGGAGCGTAGTGGAGAAAAGCCTCACCCATTTTATTTGGGGGATTTTAGGGATATTTAAAAAGCTGAGGAGGACCTCAGGGCTTGTCCAGGGACATAAAACAAGACTGACTGTGAATTGAAGTCTGTTAGTCAGACTTCAATTCAGAAAGACTCTTCAAATATAACTACAGCTCTCAGGACATCGGGAGGAGGAAACAGCTAGCTTGGCTCTCATAGTTGTTCAAAATTATGCAGAATGGATTCGCTCGTGGACTTTAAGGTGAATACTTTGAGAAAACCTGTTGCCACACTCTTAAGACCACTATGGTTTTTCTCCAGTGTGAATACGTTGATGTTTTTTGAGAGCACCTGATTGAGTGAAAGTTTTCCCACACTCTTCACAGCAGTACGGTTTTTCTCCAGTGTGAATACGTTGATGTGATTTGAGATCACCTGATTGAGTGAAAGTTTTCCCACACTCTTCACAGCAGTACGGTTTTTCTCCAGTGTGAATACGTTGATGTGATTTGAAAGTATCTGATGTAGTGAATGTTTTCCCACACTCTTCACACCAGTACGGTTTTTCTCCAGTGTGAATACGGTGATGTGATTTGAGAGCACCTGATTGAGTGAATGTTTTCCCACACTCTTCACAGCAGTACGGTTTTTCTCCAGTGTGAATACGTTGATGTAATTTGAGATTACTTGATGTAGTGAATGTTTTCCCACACTCTTTACACCAGTACGGTTTTTCTCCAGTGTGAATACGTCGATGTGATTTGAGAGCACCTGATGTAGTGAATGTTTTCCCACACAATTCACAGCTGTACGGTTTTTCTCCAGTGTGAATACGTCGATGTGATTTGAGAGTACCAGATAGAGTGAATGTTGTCCCACACTCTTCACACCAGTACAGTTTTTCTCCAGTGTGAATACGTTGATGTGATTTGAGAGCACCTGATTGAGTGAATGTTTTCCCACACTCTTCACAGCTGTACGGTTTTTCTCCAGTGTGAATACGATGATGTTTTTTGAGATTACTTGATGAAGTGAACGTTTTCCCACAGTCTTCACAGCTGTACGGTTTTTCTCCAGTGTGAATACGATGATGTAATTTGAGATTACTTGATGTAGTGAATGTTTTCCCACACAATTCACAGCTGTATGGTTTTTCTCCAGTGTGAATACGATGATGTAATTTGAGATTACTTGATGTAGTGAATGTTTTCCCACACAATTCACAGCTGTATGGTTTTTCTCCAGTGTGAATACGATGATGTAATTTGAGATTACTTGATGTAGTGAATGTTTTCCCACACAATTCACAGCTGTATGGTTTCTCTCCAGTATGAATACGCAGGTGGCTCTTTAAATCTCCAGATGTTGTAAAGGATTTGTCACATTGCTGACAGCTGTGACGTCTCTCTCTTCCTTTGGGTTTCTAGAAAAGACGGAGAGAGAAAGTAAATCTAAAAAGCATAAAAACATATACAGTTAACACAATAAAAACTCTCTTAATATAAACCTTGACTTAACGGAATACTACTTTTACTAACTGTTTGTGTTTATTATATTTGTATTATATTAGATACAGTAATACAGCAACATTCTAACCACAGTAAATACCAGAGGTGGGGGATTCGAGTCACATGACTTGAGTCGAGTCACATGACTTGACTCGAGTCGCATATTTTTGGACTTGAGACTTGCTTGACTAACATTGATCAAATCCTCGACTTGACTTTGACTTGGTATTCATGACTTGAGAATTGACTTAGGCTTGAGACAGATGACTCGAAAGGACTTTACTTTCTAAAATAAAGTATTTGCATTTGAATTGTACGAAGCCCCTAAAGGGCAATGAAAGAAAGGAGTGAGAGACAGTAACTCGTTCGCAGGAGAAAGTTACCGGTGTGCCAAGTAGGAAGTGGAGCGCACAGGAGACAGACGTTTCATTGCAGACTGTTAAGTTTATGTGGGGAAATGGCAGTGCATACATTATTTGAGATATATTTCGAAGTTGGACTTCATTTTAGGGACATTTCGGCCAGGAGAGCTACCACTTCCATCCATCATTCTCACAAACCTGCGCTCATTGAGCAACCAAGTGGACACACTATGGACATACACAAGGTACCGTCATGAATATCGTCAGGCCTCTTTATTATGTTTCACGGAGAGTTGGCTATACAAATAGTGGCGGCGCAGCGCCGCTGCTGAAATATACGCGCCGCTGCTAGGGTGCGCCAGCCAGGTACCAAAAAAAAAAAAAAAAAACGTTTATACTTTTTTATTTTTTATTCAAATAATAATAAGTGGCGACCCTTTTTCATTTTTGATTGTTTGTTATGTGGATTTGTAGTATTTGTGTTAGTGTATGTTCAATAAAAGGTGTATTTTTTGCTAAATCTTGAGACATTGCCATTGTATGTACTAGGCAGGGCCGATTTTTGGCATAGGCGGTCGCCTAGGGCGCCAGATCTGGGGGGCGCTGCGCTAGTAGCTCTGGGAGGAGAAAACACATGTTTGACCGTTGGCGCTCATCCTAATTAAGTAATTGTAACACCCTTTTCACCCCGGTTACACTTTTTATTTGCCCTGTACGATGGGCGCTGTAAGTGGGGGATGTTGGCTTATCAGGCGCCCGCAGCCAAAGTGCGAGAGAGAGAGAGAGAGAGAGAGAGAGAGAGAGAGAGTGCAGGACGAGAGAGAGAAGTAGAGATGAGAGAGATGAGAGCTAGAGAGCGAGAGAGAGATGAGAGACGAGACCGAGAGCGCAGAGAGAGAAGAGAGAGAGAGGAGAGCGAGAGAGAGAGAGAGAGAGAGAGAGATGAGAGAGAGAAGAGAGGAGAGAGAGAGCGACGAGATGGAGAGAGAGAGAGAGAGAGAGAGAGATGGAGAGAGAGAGAGAACCGGGTACCGTTGTTTCTTAGAATCTGGTGCTAGCTGCGCTAACGGATATAAGAAGTAGATGTTTCTACAACCAGGGTGGAGGAGAGCTCTCCTGTCAGACTGAGAGGCTCAGTGAGGTAAAGGACTCTCTGAGGGTTTAGATAGTTAATTTTAGTCTAAGTTATCTCAGTGGGTCTCAAACGTTTTGACCACAAATTATGTAAACACATATTTCCAAGGCACTCCTTTATAATTATTAGGATAAATAAAAACAGGTTTGAAATCATTCCAATGTATTCTATAGGACAGTAAACCAAAAATATCGTTTAAAGTTGGAGAGATACAAAAATATGCATAAATAAATAAATGTTAACTAGGTAAAATAAGATATGAATGAACAACAAAAATAACATTTATTTGTTATTGGCTATGGTAGGTTATTGCTTATGTTCATATACTTATTTGATTATTAAAATGTAAACCGATCTTTTTCATATGGGTGTTTTAGAGTTGTACCCCCTAGATCAGGTCTCTAGTAATTGTGTGCTCAAAGTGCACCAGATTGAAGCATTTTACTTTAAAATGTTCAAAAAAATCTTCCCGGGGGGGGGCATACCCCCGGACCCCCCTAGAGGATGTGACGTCCACCCCCCAATTCAAACATGTTCATACAATGCTGAATACATTTGAAGCCATTTTGACGTATATTACCTATGTCAATAAGTTCCTGTTTTTGTAGTGTATTTGTCTTTTGTAGAGATTTTTCATTTATTCTTTATATATAAAATCTCGCCTAGGGCAGCAAATTGTCTAGAACCGGTCCTGGTACTAGGCATCAAGAGCCTTTCTTGTGTTGGCAGACACATAGAAACAAATTGGCGGGGCGCACTTTGCACGTGCACACACTAAAACATTCCACACGCTCCGCGCTCACATTATGCCTTAGCACCGCTGCTATGACTCCATCCTAGGGGAAACACTGTAACCATAAACGTTATCGTTTATTTTCTCCGTCTTTATATGTAGATATGACTTTTCTCTGTTAATCTCCGTCACGTTGTTTCCATAGCAACAACAACTCCCTGTCAACAGCGCTAACTCTCCTTCAAAATAAAAGCATGTCCATAAAAAATAGGAAGCCAAGCCAAATTACACTTAAGACATATACAACTGCAACGAAAGTAACAAACACAATGCAATATCCTTTTCAATTTTAAAGAACACAAATTGGGTTGTATACATTAACAAATAACTATAAAACAACAATATTGTAGAATAACAAAATGAATGCCGTGAATAAACCGAAATACACGTGTTGAAGCGGTTCGCTGCTGATTACTACGCCCCCCCCGGGCCGAATATCCGAATATTCGCTGCTGATTACTACCGAATATCCGGAGCCCGAAAAATGGTATTCGGGACAGCCCTAGATCACACCAGAAAAGACAATATCCTGGACAAATGCTTTGTAAATGTTAAAGGAGCCTATGTGACTAAATGTAGACCACCAATACTGAACTCTGATCATAATGTTGTGAATATGATACCAGTGTATAAGACCAAACTGAAGAGTTAACCAGAAAATAAAGTAATAAGGACATGGACAAATGAAAGTAGGGAACAGTTGAAAGCCTGTTTTCGTTGGACAGATTGGGAAATTTTTCAGGAAGGTTCACTAGATGAAATAACTACTGTTACCAATGACTATATTAACTTCTGTGTAGAACTAGTTGTTCCCACTAAAGAAATAAAAATCTATCCAAATAATAAATCATATGTGACTAAGGACATTAAAAAAAGTTATAAATACCAGGAAAATAGCTTTCAAAAACAAAGACTATGGAGCACTTGGACAGAGAAAGAACTGAAAGTCAAGTTGAGGGAATCAAAACTGGTATACAGAGAGCTTTTGGAAAATGCTTTTAAAGCCAAAGACCCCAAAAAAGTATGAGACCCCATGAGAACCATGACAGGAAAGACCTCTTCAGCTAAACCTATTGTGACGGACAATGAATTTTGTTTTGCCAATTAACTAAACACGTTCTTTACCCGTTTCGAGTCACTGGATGATTCTGCCAAGTGCACTGAAATTCTCGAAACAATAATCCCTGCTTCCTCTGACAAAATAACCATCAGTGTCAAAGAGGTCAGAAAAACATTTCAGTACACCAACACCAACAAAGCTGCTGAAAAATGTTGCTACTGAGCTGGCTCGAGTGTGGCAACCCATCTTTCAGGCTTCCATTGACACGCACACCATCCCTCTGTCATGGAAAACTACACACATAAAACCACTGGCCAAAAGAACATAAGGACTGCAGACCAATAGCCCTCACCTCAGTGATCATGAAATCATTAGAAAGAATTCTGCTCCGATTTCTTATCAGTATAACACAAGACATACTTGATCCATACCAAAATGTTTGCCTATAAGCAAGGGGGTGGTACGGAAGATGCTGTTGCTACTCTGGTTCATATCATTACTAAACATTTAGATAACAAGCAGACATCTTGGTGTCAATAATTGCCTAAATAGAAGTAAATCCAAACCTGATTTACTGATATGCTGCTTCCTCATCAGTAGAGAGCAACTTGTGAAGGTTAACAAAACCCTGTAATTTGACATCACAACCCATGTAGGGGCCCCCCAGGGCTGCGTGAGTTCAGCTGTGCTCTTTACTAGCTTCCTTTTAGCTTTTTTTGATGACTTTACTGAACTGCTGTCTATAGTGTGTATTGACTTTGACCGTCTAGTAGGGGTGTAACGGTTCAAAAACATTTCGGTTCGGTACGTACCTCGGTTTTTAGGTCAAGGTTCGGTACGTTTTCGGTACAGCAGAAAAAATTATCACAAAACATAAAATATTTTTTGGGGGTTTTTAATTATTATTAAACTGTGAATAATGTATACACTCAAATAAATACATAGATATGTAAATTGTAATCTAGGGCTGTGCAATTAATCGTATTTTAATCGCAATTACGATTTTGGCCTGCCACAATTACGAAAACAACATAATCGAATAAAACAATTATTTTGCTTTGCTAGGTTGTGACAGTGAACTAGAACATATTTGATCTAATTTATTTTGGTCTAATTTATTTGTATTTATCATATTTATATATGATAAGTAGCTTTTGGAAATGCGCTCCAAAATATTTGTTGATCTTGTTTATTGGTATTTATTATTTTGATATTATTTATTTAAAGTTTTTCAGTTGAATTATACGTTCAGGGTAATCAACAGTTATAAGATACTGTTCAAATTATTATTTGTATTCGTTTTAAAGTTCAATAAATGGATGTTTTCAAAGTCAATGAATAATCGTATTTAATAATCGTGATATCAATTATTGACCAAAATAATCGTGATTATGATTTTTGCCATAATCGCACAGCCCTATTGTAATCCCTGTAATTTTTGCTGTATGATGTCCTTTTGTTGTTCTGTTAATGTTTTTATGTCTTCATGTGGAACCTACTGCTGCAGGTCTCCCTTGAAAAAGAGATAATTGATCTCAATGGGATTTCACCTGGATAAATAAAGG